TTTTAGGTTAAAATAAGCCACAATCCACCACGACATATTCGCAGTTTTTGAGATAATATACTAATCAAAAACTAATACTATTCAGGATTTAACTTTTTACTTTTTTTTCTCAAGGTTCAAAAAAATTTTAAGTTCTTTAAGAGGGGTAATTTGTTTCACGAGTTTAGGTAAGTTGTCAAAATTTGCTGGCAAAATTTTTCATCGGAAATAATTTTTCGCTGAAAATTTTTTTAAGGCCTATCAAACACTGGTTTTGAAAACAATTTTCTGAGTTTAAACTTGTTTTTATAGCAGCTTCGGATAAAAATCACATTTTTTCTTATCATTAAATAATTTTGACAAGTCGTAAAAACTATCTCGAAGCAAAAAAAAACATTATTGAAACACCAAAAAAAACCGTGATGAATGAGTTTACAGCTGATAAAGACATATGGCGCTTGTTCGGCGCCCAAAAAACCTAACAACAAATCTGAAAAAATTGGACGGCCTTCTTCCAAGTTGCTAAGATAACTATAAACAATTAGATTGATTTTTTCAAGATCTTTTTGGAGCTATTTGCACGAGCATATGCCAATGTCTTTTGCAAAGAGGGAGGGGGGGGGTTATTACTAGGTTTAAAAAACGCATATGCTTAATGGTTGAATTATTTCATTATAGCCCGGGTTGACCAAAACTTCTTATCATACAATTTCCATATATGAGAAACTTCTTGTCGTACAATTTCATACAATTCCATACGTACAGAAAATTGTATGAAAACTCTATGATAAGCATTTTTCCATATATGAAAATTGTATGATAGGTGTTTTTTTTCCATTAACCAAAATTTTGATTTTTTCTTTCTAAATTTAGTTTCTGAAACATTTTCGGTTGTAGTTGCAACCGAACACAAGTGACAAAGACCTTGGTTACTCAAAACACCAAAGGTTGGACGGTCTTGCATTCACAGATTGTTTTTTATCACCAGACTGTTTTATTAGAATCAAACATCCGCAGAAATTAGTTTAAACCTTTCTTCTACCATTTTTCAAAATTGTATGAAAATTGTATGACAAGCATTTTTTCCATACACTTGATGTATGGAATTGTATGATCAGCATTTTCGGTGTATGGAGGTCAACCTGGGAGGCTTGGAAGTTCTTCACTAGGTTTAATAGCAAATTTAAGTCAAACTCGACTACTAGCCTGTACATGCCCCTGAACTTGGACATGATGTGATTGTGTTCATTCTGTAGTTTCTGATGGCTGTCAATCAACTTCTCCTCTGAATGCTTGTAGCTTCTCACTGCCAACTTCATCTTCTTGAAGTCCGCCACCACTCTCTCCAACTCATGGATCTCCTTCACCACTTTGAACGCCTGATTAGACGAAGAAGATTCACAGTCAAAGAGTAATTGGTTATGTAAGTTGACAGACGTCTGTTGAATAATCTCTGATATGAAAACAATTTATTATTATTATTATTAAGATGATTATTATTATTATTATTATGATTATTATTATTATGATTATTATTATGATTATTATGATTATTATTATTATTATTACTATTATTATTATGATTATTATGATTTTTATGATTATTATGATTATTATTATGATTATTATGATTATTATGATTATTATTATTATGATTATTTTTATTATTACTACCTTGATTATTACTATTATGAAACAATTGAGGACAGAAGAACTGAATTGCGTTTTAAAAGATCATGTAACAATTGTAAAAACAAAACTTCAATGCTGAAGTTGTGGCAGTTTTGAAAATGGCAAAAGATAATTATTTGCCCTAATTTAGGAAATCTTTGCGAAAAACAATCCTTCAACAATTTGCAGCGAAAAATAAAATATCAATCAATATTAACCAATTTATATTATCATAGTCCGTTTTAGACTATGCGTACCCCCTTGTTTTCCCGTATGCCATTATTTCTTCTTTAGGTTTTTCCTGATAGAGTATAATTTCTCTGGGCTTCATCAGGGTTGGCAACCCAAAATATATCATGAAAATCAAGCGATGTGAAGAAAAGTTTGAGGACTCGAACATGTTAGAACTTTTAAAGTGAAAAAAAAAGATATTTTTTTCTCAGCTTGCCTTTTCGAAATCGTCCATCATGAGCGAGAACACTTTGTCGTCCAGAAGGGGCTGCACTTTCTCGTAGTCTAATACTTTGTTCATGATGGCCTCTGCCTCCGAGTTCAACTGGTTCCTCATCGTCTGTTCATCCATCGAGCTATTCAGAAAATTGTCGCCCAGACCATCTCCCTTAATACAGAAAACACTTTTGAGGATAGCTAGTAATCCGAAAACAAGAATTCATGACACAATTACCTCAATCAGTCTCGGATAGGGAGGGGGGGGGCGTACTCGTTACTACTTTAAGCCATTGTATATGGCTACCCGACCGTAAGTTTTGTATATAACACAGGGGCGGAATTAGGGGGGGACACTTCTTCCTTCAGAGGTTCGACCCCCTGTCGACTCAAAGGTTCCCCCTTTGTACTGTCTTCAGGTATTCATTTTTGGTGACCGACCCTAAAAATTTTGTAAAGGAGCCTTTGGCGCCAATATGTATTAATTTTAAGGGAGTGCGCGCCAAAAAAACGCAATTTTCAATTTTTTGGTCGTAACTTTCCAAAAGTGCCTGAAAACACCTTTTTTCTTAAGCTTTTTTCAAAAAACTTGCCAGCGGCGCAGAAAATTTGGTCAAAATAAAGTCTTTTTTGTTTAGGAGAGCTCAGAAACTCATTTTGGTCAACGTAAAAAAAAGTAGACAACATTATTGAAGTTTTTTTGAACATCGCCACCCCCCTCGATAAAAACTTAGGTCCGGCCCTGAATTCAATGTTTGTCAATGACTTCGGATGATATCGGCAAAGTTAGGTTTTGCTCGAAATAGCGAATGTGGTTTTTGATTTGAAGTTTTGCACATGTTCTTTCGTGTCAATGTGTTCCAAAGCTCGGCTTTTTTCCAACACCCTGAATTTCTTTTTTTGAAAACTATTTCAACATTTTCTAATGCAAAAAAACTTTGCATGTCAAAAAATTAACTAATGTGAACACATTTGTTTGTCATACGATAGATCGTAAAACTGTATGACAGGTTAAAAATCCACAAGTAAAAGGTAAAGAACATGAAAATATAAAGTTTGAAATGTGAGGGAAAATGGAAAAGATTCCAAAGATGGGACGACCTTAACGGACAAGAGGGAAGAGCAGACACCCTTTTTGTCAAAAACTCGAACCCCCCTCTCCCCCTCTCTAAAAAGTTGATCCAATTTGTGCTACTTATTACTATCTGTAGTCTTTTGTAAAGACAAATACTGTCAAGAAGATACTCACATCGATCTCCTCGAATTCTCTCTTGGCGTCCTTGATGTTGCTTACTAGGAAGCTCTGGTTGTCCACTAGGGGCCACCCATTCTCATCTACATTGCCCAGAATGTCCCGCATGTCTCCCGTGATCTGCACTCGACTGTTGGCGTTCTTGTTCCCACCAGGGTTCATGTTAGAATTATTCTGAAGAACATTCAAAAGATATTTTCATGAGTTAAAATCAGTGGTTTCATTTGCCTGAAATTAAAAAGAAACCCAAACTAAAAACAGTATTGAGAACAAATTTCGGAGAAAAGGTTAATTTGAAATACGCTGGAAAAAAATAATTCAACAACGCGATCATTATCGGATTGAACCAAAAAATTAGTTTTCTAAAACACCTGTTTTTTCAAGAGAGATCTTTAAATACTTGCAGAGATCCTCGCAAAATCAATTTTTCTCGGAGTTGCTTGGCAATAATTTCAGCTTTTTCTAGACATTTGCAAGCAAAACCCTCAAATCAGTCCTTGATGTGAAATTTAATTTTTAGAACTCAGTAACGTATGCTTACATTAAGTGTATTGATGCTGTCAACGGCCAAAGAGTTGTCTGCTTGTTGTTGTTGCTGCTGCTGCTGCTGTTGGTTTCCCTGAAGTCGACTGGGGGTGCTGGCTGTGCTGGAGGTGGGGTTGTTCACTTTAGGGCTGGTCACTGTTATATTGGGAGTGCTCAAAAGTTTGCTCCGTGAACTCATTCTGAAAAAAAAAAACAATGATTCTGGAATAATTGTTATAATGGACGCTATGTAAAGTAGTATTGTTATAATGGACGCAATGTAAAGTTATCTGCAGACGCAATGTAGTGTACTAAATGATATGATTTGCGTCTGCTAACGTTACACTCAGCGCAAATAAGACGCCTGGATTAAATTCTCAATTAGTTAGTTCGCTGCTTACCCTTGGATAGAACGAAATATATCGCTCGTTATTTTTCTAATTTGATATACCCTCTAAAATTGGTTACAGGTGTAATATTCTTTTCTGTGAGCTCAAAGCATTCATTCTTTCAGATGCTATAAAAAAGGCCCTGCTAATAAAATATTATATTAATCTTTGTAGGTATGTACAACTAATGTACAATTACTTAAAAGAAAACAAAAAACAAATAAAATGTGTGAACTGAAAAAATTCTAAGACTAACACTGAACCAACACACTATGATCGACCAATGGTCGTATCATGCAAAGTTGACAGGAATTTAATCAATACCGAAGGTCATTAAGAGAGACATAAAACACATCAAAACATTTTGCACCGGGAAAAAAAATAAAATTACAAATTAACTAAAACTAATTCTATATACACCCATTCCCCCCTTCAAAGTAGGAACAAAATTTTACAAGCTGCGCCGAAAAACAGTACAGCAAGCAAAAAGGAAACTAAAAATGGAATTTGGAGAGTGCATATGTACAAAGGGTGAAAATACAGAATTTACAGTTATACAAAACAAAATTAACAAAATGAAACAACACTAATCTACATGATGTACATTTAACCTGTACAAAGTTATCTACAGTAAAGAAGGTCAGTTAAAATGAATACTATAAAAGTGAAAACAATTAAAAATGTCTTAAAGCAGTTTTAATGAAATCTTGCATCGAAATCGTCTAGTCTGTGATTCAGGTCTGTATCTATTGTCAATGAAAAATCACTTGTTCCTTCTATATCGTCAGTTGTATATGTAGCAGGTCGGGGTGAAGAGGAGGATCCGAAGGATGTGTTTGTTAAGATTGTCTGAATTTCACGATGGGATAGATTTCTGAGATGACCAGAATAGGGTATTTTCTGCGACAAGGGTGATTTTGGTGGTGCCTCCGCAAGTGGTATTAGGAGGTCTGAAGGTGAAGTGACGGTGAAGGTTGCCCTCGGATAGTTAAAAACATCGTCCTGTACCGTTAACACTTGAGTGTTCTGGTCATCTTTTTCTAGAACGATATCTATGTATCTTCGATCTCCGAAGAATTTCGGGGGTCCCACGTTTCTGCGCTGCATAGACTGTCTCGGTTGATGTTCTACTGGGGTACTGTCCAACAGAATTGGGTTGTTTTCAGAGCCTTCTATTTTCACTGCATCTGGCACGTCCATCACCACAGGGTGTTCTGTGCAAACTGTGAGGTTAGGCCTAGTTGATTGATTGTTGTCATCACCTGTAAAAACTAACCCTTGGTTAGATCCCGAGTCGGCTGAGCAATATTTTTGTCTTAACCTCGAAAAAATTGTCTATTTTTCCATCAGAATAGTTTAAGTTTAAAGATGACGAGGAACCTGAGGTGTTACGTGAAAGATCGTGTGTAACTAATGGGTCTCTCGACGGTCCGTCCAGACACTTGAGTAGGCCTATCCGCTCTTGAAGTGCCTTGCATTAACTGAGTTTTATCGGTCAGAATTGTATTCATCGGTGGAGATAGCTTTTTTTTCTGCTAAACTCGAAGGTATAGTTAGATTGTGCCCGATGGGTGACTGATTCACGACAGTTTTCCTAAGACCTGGAAAGAGTTTTCCCTTGTAGGTTCAGTCGATTTCCGTAAAAAGTGGCCATTATCAAGTGGTATGGTATGCTCAGACGAGTCGATGATATCCTCTTTACAAGATTAAAATAAGGTTCCCCAATTTTTCTGTTGGCAGCCCTTCTATAGTATTTACCTCCGGAGACTAGTTTCGTCGTCGATCTTGAGCATTTACCCGGACTATGCACTTCTTTTACGGGAGTCCTTGGAATTGTAGGGGCTAGCAGGTTATCTTCGTAGTCGGATGGAGTGCCCATGTCAGCATCAAGGTTGCCGTCTTCCGCGCCGTCGTGCATTTCCCAATTTCTGGCCCCGTCAGTCAGATAGAATGGATTTCGTTAAATCTAAATGGTTATCAAGGGAAATCAGATTCTTCCATCTAATATTAGCCGTTCTCTAAAAATGTTTCTCGAACGGAATACAACTGATAGCGGTTTGTTTTGTAACTCTGAGGCTCCAGATAAATTTTTCGATCGAAGAATTTAAAGTAGGTTTGGTAAATCAAATGACATGGCTATCAATTTGGTCTTTACAGTTCATACAAGTCTTTCCACTAGCCCATTAGACCTATGATTGCCGGCTGTACAATAAATGCTATCGATCTTATACTTTCCACAGAAGGACTAGGGGCCCAGCTGAAAGCTGGAGAGACCTGTTTGATTATTTTAATATTGATTATTTTAAAATTGTTTTAAAATTTTAGGTTTCTCAAGTCGATAGCGCCCTTCCTACGCAAAAAAAAGTGAAAGAGAAGCTTATGCATTCATTGGTAACGATTTGGTAAAAAGTTTTCATGAGGGAACTTTTCAAGTCCATAAGTGTTTCCCTAGACAATAGGGGCCCAGCTGGAAGCTGGAGAGACCTGTTTGGTTATTTCAGAAAAAACGTTATACAAATTTTTGATGAAATCGAATTAGCTAGCGCTTTTTGTTTTATTAAAAAAACGAGTTTGAAAAAATGTGGGTGGGGGTGTAAGGTTAGCGAAATCGCAGATTGATTTTGGATGAGTTTTGTAAACTAATGTAGCAAGGTAATTGTGTGCATCACTCTGCCAGAATTAAACGGGCCTTTCACAGAGCGACAAGGCAAACCGTACTAAAATTAAACGAGCCTTTCACAGTGCGACAAGGCAACCGTAATGTGAATTAAACGGGCCTTTCACAGTGCGACAAGGCAAACCGTATCAATCATGGTAACATGCTAAATATATTTAAAATAAAATCATATGCACAATGCTTCAACAATGTGAATAATTATTCACTAGAATTAAGTGAAATGTGTGTTTCACAAACCAGCTAACATTAATGAAATAAAGTATTTTTCATTTTTCTAACGACTCTTTAGTTTTCGAATTAATTAAATTTTGTCCAAGCATTGCAAATATGACTATAATATGTTGACTATAACTGACATCACAAAAACGTTCTGGAACAAACCGACCAGATTAAAGAGAACTAGCGTAACTCGTGCAACTTCTCGTTGGACTTCTTCGAACCATACAAAAAAACTCAACACAAAGCCAATAGCACCAAGCAAAAGCGAGAAAACGTAAGCATAGCGGATTCCATTGTCTAAAAATACACACAATAAGTATATTGAATCTTTGTTCCAATGCCAAAAAACTTTAAAAAAAACTTTTCCTAAGTCTATAGCTCTTCCCCTAAGCAAATTAGGGACCAGCCGCTTGTGCATGGGAGTTTCCTACAACCTGGTCTATTGATTAAACCCTTAATCTTAAATCTGGACGGGTAGTTTTTGAGGAAATCGAAAAATTCCGAAAAAATGGGCAAAAAGTGGAAAAAGTACCGAGTTGTGAAGCTTTTCTAAGACCGTAGGGGGTGGGGTAGGGTAAAAATTGCCCTAAATTTCATGCAGGCAAGTAGGTGAAATACTACTGAATCCATTGGTACCACTTTTATGAGAATCTGACGCTGACGGGTAGTTTTTTGGGAAAGCGAATTTTTCGAAAAATCGTCTCAAAAAAATCATAATAAAAAAAAATAAAAAAAACCAGATCTCATCTGGAAAAAAAAACGTTTTCATAATACCTGTTTAATAAATCAAACAGGAATTTAAAACTGTGTGATAAAATCCCGACCCATGGTCGACTCTAATCTTTCTTCGAAATCCGTGAAGATGGCAACAATCGTTTAGAAATGAGGTAACTGCGTTTGAAGTAGTGTTGTTGACTAATTTCGCCGATAGAAACTTAGCGATCGATGCACAAGAGAATATATGTTTTCGTTCCCCAAAACGTGTCCAAAGATCCTGCGAAGTCCAGGTTATTTCCTCGTTCGCGAACGTCATTATGGGTAGTTTTCAGTCAGCTTTAAATCTTTTCAGCAGATTTGCGTAATTGTCCGGGAGATAGTTACCTTTAATTTTAAAGAAATATTGTGTTCTTCTGGAATATTAAGTAGTGGGCTGGTAATGTCTTCCATTTTTTTTGTTTCGAAAATTTTTTTTGTTTTGAAGATTTAACGGTTTATTTTTAATGATAAAATGTAAAATGACCTTGTCCGAAAAAACAATGCTCCTGTATTTATATTTAGAATTGTCAAGAGGTAAACACTTGGAAGTACAATTTTCTGCTCGGAGGTGAAAATTATTGACAATTGTTTTTGACTGAGCAATACAAGATATGATAGCGACAATAATTTTGAGATTGGAATAAGCTAAAGAGCTAATAAAAAGATCTTGACCGACCAGATCGCTTGAATTTCCTACTCCCGACGGGATATAACTATTAACGAGCGTATTAGTTTTTACAGCAACCAAAGGTCTATCTAATGAATTCACATTTAAAAGATTAAAATGGTCTTTATCGGATAAAAAATTCTGAATTTTGTCGATTGAAGCGACTACAAATTCTTCGTCGTAGTAAGAAGGTGGAAGGAATTTTCCCAAAGGTAATCTAGATAGATAAAAGTTCTGTGAAACCAATATCTTTTCCTGGTATATGGGAAATTTTAAAGTTAAAAGGTAACATTCTGTTTACCCAACGCACCAATCGACCATGCATAGTTTTGTTTTTATGGTTTGCCAAGAGAGCACAAAGAGAGAGCAGAGTTTTATGGTCCGTAACGATTTCGAATTCTGCCCCGTAAAGTTAATTTCTAACGTGTGCTAAAGCCCACACCACGCCCAGCAAATCCAATTTTTTTTATAGAATATTTCATTTCATGGTTTTTAAAAAAATCTTGAGGCGAATACAAATCTTTTCCACTGCCCCCCTTGGAATCGTTTTAAAGTTGCGCCCAGACCGCTATGAGAAGCGTCGTTTTTAATCTCGCTTTTTTTATATCGAAGTGGCTGTTTTTCGTAATATTTACAATTTCTGTTTTTAGTTTTTCTAAGGCTAAGGAATGGTTTTTGTGCCATCTATATACCGATATTTTGTTTAACAGGGGACGTAGTGGAGAGCTTAAAATTAATAAATTCGGGACAAACTTTACATATTGATTTATGGAGCCAAAGAAGGATCGCAGTTCCGAAATGTTCTTGCGGATTGGCAGGCTCGTGATGGCGTCTGCTTTACCGACCAAAGGTCGTACTCCCTCTCCCGAGACTTTTAAGCTTTCTTTTTCTGACTAGAAGAATGCGCATTTGACCGCCATATTGTTCTTGTCCAGAATTGTTAGAATTTTATTAACTGTTGTTTTTTGTTCCTCCAGTGATTCCTTCGATGCCACCAGTGTATCGTCTATAAAGCAGTTTGTGAACGGTATGTTCTTTAAAAGAGAGTCCATGACCCGTTAAAATTCGTTGAACATATCACCCAGTCCGTAAAGTCCAATTAAAAAACGATATGTTTCCGTTGTTTCACCGCCCACAATACTGAAGTCAAATTGCTTACTCGTTGTTTTGCACAATTTAAGTTGGCTATATGAATTTTCAGATCCAAGTTGCTAAATCAATCTTGTTCAGTTGGTTTTTCTGAGATTTGTAAAGCCACGTAATCTATAAGTTCATGAAATTTTGGCTTTTGATGTTTGTTTTCAAAAATCTGGTCAGTTAACAATTTAGAATCTAACGCGAATTTAATCGAACCGTCTTTCTTCCTGGTTATAAAAATTGGGCTGATAAAACAATCTACGTCACACTTTTCAAGTTTTATAATGAGACCCTCGGTCTCCATTCTTCCTAATTCCTCATTAAATCCCGCGAGTAAGTGTAGAGGGATTCTTCTCCCTTTCGCCTGAACAAGTTTAAACGGGGTATGGAAGTGTGTGACCATGCGATAGTTAGGGATTTTTCCCACTCGAGAAAATAAATCTTTGAACTTAATAAAACAGTTATCAGTTGGTGAGTATGGTTTAAACCATTTACTCTCGAATGGTGGTTGACTGTCTGAGCAAATCGGCTGTGGCCATTTCTTCTGCTTCACTTCGATGCCTAACCTTGGTAAGTTATCATTCACCAGAATATTGCGTTCGCGGCCACAGGTGATAAAGAACGGTGTTTCTTCATTAATCCATCCGTTGGATTGCGTCCTAACAATGAGACTTATTGCGGATTAGAGACACAGCTAACATGGACATCTCGCATGTCCTTCTTAATTCTAACGTATTTACAGTGGGTCATTTGTTACGGGATGTTACGTTTGTTAAGCGGAGTGTCCTTTGTAATTACAGGCCAAAACGGAGTCGGTTTTTGTCGGCTTCAGCCTGTCTCATCTCATTGAATTTCCTAGCTCTCTAATCCTATTTTCCACTGGCTAGATTTTAAGGTTGGGATATTTTAGTTTATGTTCGTGCAACACGTTTTGTTTTAAAAAGCTAACAGGAATCTTTGATTCTACCGGAATGTTCATGTTCACGATCCTTTCCCATCCCAATCCTATATTTAAAAGTTTTTTAGTTTCAAGTCCATTTTTGTCGTAGATTGTTCCCACGCTCAATACCAAAAAATCGTCATTGTCACTCTGTCCGCGTTCGTTCCGGGCGCTTATCGCTCCGCGCATTTCTTGATTTTCACTCCACGAACTTAACGGCGGGACGTATATACAATTCTCAGTATTTACATAGTTATCAGATACAGTATTTACAGTGTGTCGTTTTACAGGATTTACATAGATTAGCAAAGTGTCTTCTGTAATTACAGTTTATACATGTTATATCCTTCTCTGGGCATACATTTAGATGTCCTTTCGTAAATGGGTTCCCACATTTCATGCACGGATTAATTCTTTCTATGATGAGGCTTGATTCTTTCTTGATCTGATTGTGTGAGTTAAAAGATTTAAAAAGTCACCCGTTGGTCGAGGATCTGGCCATGTTAGTCAGTTTTTCGTGGT